CCACTGGCGGTAGCGGGGGGCGGGCAAGGAGATATGACAAAGGGGCAGGGGCAGCCGCCGTCAGGCGTGGCGGCGGATGAGCGGTGGCGCGTTGCGCACCTGCTCAGCACTCAGTGGACGCAGCAGCCTGCTCTGACCGGACGTGACGCGCCTCCTACTGCGGAGCTGGCACCCTAAAACGCCTCAAGGGTTGACCTTTGCCTACCTCATGCGCTTCTTCCGCTCCTTGGACGCCCTTGTGGGCTGCGCCGGAGGCAGCTCGTCCCCGCGAGACCCACCACAAGGGCCCGCAGGAGCCTGCTGCGCACCAGAAGACGCTATAGGGGTTGTGGAAGTCAAAATCAGGACCGCCAGCGCGAGGATCAGGGACCGGGGCCCCATCTCGCACAGCGTCAACGCAAACGCGAGGTTTGCACGCTAAGCTTGTGAGATAAGACTGAAAACGATGCACTACGAACAGGTAAATGCTGTGATGTGACGCCTAGGCTGGTGTTGCAAGTCAACAAGTGCACTGCTGGAAGCTGCACTGCTGCCGCTCAGGAGCGCACTGCAGCAGCCGCCGGGCAGTTGTTTTCGCGACTCGCGCTCTTGTTGACTGAGCTGAGGCTGATCAGCGCGCACAGGTAGCACACATGCATGTGAATATCTCTCTAGAGGCTTGTTTTTGCTGCTCTGTGGCGCGCACGGAGCAAAGGCATGACTGGTGCATGGCGGCTGGTCTGTTCGTGTGTGCTGCTGTGCCGGGTGGCTCGCGCATGGCGGCTGGTGCGCCGCTCCGCGGACTGCTGCGCGGCCCATGGGACCGAGGTGGCCTTGTCATCTGGGCATCAGTTAACATCTTGATTGCGCAAATTGTATCGCCCACTAGCACTCCTTGGTGTGGCATGGCACAGCGCATGTCAGCCCCATGCATGCGCCGCGCATGCAGGCGGCCTGCAAGCCGCCCACCTGCCCGCTCCGCCCCGGGCGGCCGGCTGCTGTGCGCTCCTGTCAACCCCACTGCAAGAAATGGGCTCATGATGGCTGAGCACCTATCACAGAATCACCGTCGCGTCAATGCGGTGCGCTGCACCGCCCCTGCACACCGGTGCTTACTCTACTCGAACCACTCCCCGCCCCCTTCCCTGACCGCATGCCGCGGCACTCCGTCGCACGCGACACCATTGCAGGGGCAGGGCGCCGGGCTGCGGACATGACCCTGCGCATGTGCTGTGTGCTTTGCATGCTTTGCATGAACAGCCAAGCACATGCCTCTTCGGATGTGCCGAGCAGTGGGAACCTGTACTGCGCCAGCTGAGCGGACTGCTGGCCAAACAAAGTCCTTATTTTCCAAGGGAACTCCTTCGGTTCAAGCTGCCGCGTCGGTCGGGCATGGCTACTGCACCCGGGCGCACGGATGCTGCGAGGCGCCTGCGATTCCGTACTGTACTTACCCCGCGCACAGCCGTCTCCCACATAGAGCAGCTGCTAGTGTGGCTCGCCACAGGGCCGCACGGCGCCCGCGCCCTGAGCGCCCCCTCCTTGAAACTGCCCTTGCCTTATCACTGCCAACATCACACGAAAAGCACACCTTGACTTGTCGAGTTCGATTTACATTGGGCACAGGTGTGCAGCTTGCAGAGACTGCCGGGGTCAAATCAGCCCAGCGTGATCCCAATAGTGCAGTCAAAATCGAAAATGCAGCATGATCGACGCGGGTAGCCGGCGCCGCTCGCATATTGATGGTAGTGTATGGCGCCCGAGCAGCCCCGCGTCCGCGCAGCGCCGCAGCGTGGCGCAGATCAGCGCGGATCAGTACCGACTCTGAGGGTGGTACTATACATGTGTTGTGGGTGGGTGGTGGTACCGTGTACACGCGTGCGCCGCCTCTCCGCGCGCGCGCCGCGGCCGTCAAGACGTGAGGGAGGCTGGGCCGCGGCTTCGCGCGGCGCGGGAGGGGCTGGTGTCAAAATTGGAGGGCGCTCTCGCGCCTCAAGGGGTGGCCCGGTTGAGTGTTGCACGGGCGCTCCAGTGTGGTGGGGTTTTGCGGTCACGTGTGCAGCAACAGGGACTCTACGGATGTGCACTGAAACAGAGGTTATGCACTAGAAACGGGGCACATGCAGCCGGTGCGCCGGGAGGGGCGCCGCCGAGCGCCTGTGGGCGGAGCTCACATCGCAAACCGCTTAAGCACGCACGGCTGCTGGGGCCATCCGAAGGCAGGCGCAAACGATAGCGCACCCGCTCACAACGGGGCCCGCCAATCGGTGGTCAAAATTGTTGTCCTCCCTTTGTGCACCATGCGGCAATCAGATCGTGCGCGGCGGCGCTTGGGAGGAATAGGGGCCGCTCTTCCTTCTCGCAGGGTTGGTACAAACTGGGCAGGAGCCACGGCACCGCCGCCAAGCCACTGCCGGCGGGCTGGCATGGGGCCGCGCCACGCGGGCAAGCTCACTACGACGGTGGCCACACACAAAGGGGGGGGCGGCGGCGCGCAGGCGCGGCGCGCCGCGCCGCCCCCCGGCCGCGCATAAAAGCAAACGGGCATGCCTGCCTGTGATCTGTCAACACCAGGGGACCTCGCGTCCCCCAGCCGCCTCGGACCGCTCTCCTCGAGCGACTCAAAACACGGCTGTCTCGACCTCGGACTGCCTGCTGGACTGCTGGACTGCCGGACTGCCCCTTGGCCGCGCGTTTTCAGTCGGTCTCGTCCTCAGAGTAGGTCAGGTGGATTGGGACGTCGGCCATGCATCGGAAGATCTCCGGGTGCAGCGCCGCCAGGCGGGCATCTCTGGAGGGCATGACATCAGCGTCATCGTATGACACCCAGCAGAGCCCGTCATCCAGGTCGCACGATGACGTCATCGTGGCCGGCGCGACCTGCGCCTCAAAGGCGCCGCCGCGGGGGGCCTGGCGGCCGGCGGCGGGCGCGGCGGAGGCCGGGCGCGGGGGCGCGCGGGCCGAGGC